TTATTTCTTTTATATTGTTCAAACTCGCTGTAATATATAAAATTTTCTGACTTTATTGCTTTATTAATAATAATGCTTAATTCATTTTATTATTATGGAACAATTTTAAATAAATAAAAAAAAATTTAAATATAATTATAAAAATTCGAAACTAGTAACTTCTAGTAACTTAATTACTATATTAAAATGAAAGTTCAAAAGGAAAAGGAGAACAATGTTGCCAAATTTATTCTTATTCTGGTTTGTACCTAAATACACTGTAATAATATATAAGTAAATACTTATATGAGATTGCACTTTTACTACGGAGCAATCTACAAAGAAACTGGTTTCAAATTTGAGTCTGTGTATCTTAAGTTATATACACTTTGTGATCATGCACCTGTTACAAAATGTCTGTAACCTCACAAGAAGAGTGATTATTATTTTATAAAGGTTAAAGTTCAATAATATTTATCTAATAGAAACTTAATAGTTCTATTTCTCATGGATTTGGAAAGTAGACGAAAAAGTTCTGACAAGAGGTCAGTTTTTTTGAATTTTGCAAAACATTACATTTCTTTATTTTTATTTTTTTTTCTTTTGTTTTTTTTTTTTTACAATCTAATCGTAATTAGAAATTTCAAATTTACTATGAATTTATTTTTACCTATTCTTAACGTGAACTTATATATTTAGTTTATAGTGTTGGATATAAAAATTTGTTTATTATACATAGTTTTGACACAGACGACGATTCTGATTATGCTATGATAAAACGAATTAAAATGGAACCAGAAGCTATATTGTCCCAAGAAGATGATATAATGGCTCAATTACAACAAGAAAGTTCTGATTTAGAAGTAGAACCAAGTTTTGCATTAGAAGGCTCTGCAAATGGAGAAGATTGCAATGAAGGTGTTCTAATGCAACATATGGATATCAGAGAGCCTCTTTCTACTTTACGAAATTTATTAGAACAAAGATTAGGAGTAGAGTTAACAGATTATGCTTTTTGGTTGCAAGATACGCAAATGGTAATAAATGCAATAAATCAATAGAATGAATTTAAATTTAATAAGCTTACATTTATTTTTTCAGCTAGAGAGTCATAAAAATTTAGTTGATCAATGTGTACAAGGAGAAGGATTAGTCCAAGTAAATGTTCAAATAAAAGCAACGCAGAGGAAAATAAATATAGTGGATGTTTTAAAACCTGCAGAAGATTATATAGAATTAGCAGAAAACAATGGTAAAATATATTAATATACTTATTGAAAGAAAATTATAAATTATTAGTATATTATGATTTCTTAATATACATATTTTATGATTTAGCATCTACACCTATTAATGAAGATAATAAACGAAATGTCATAAGATGGTTGGTTGACCCACAATATAAAAAAGAACAGGTATAATATTTATAAAATTAAATATTAAATTTAATCGTAATTTATATCTTAATTAGACATTTGTATATATTATACAGGAACGGTTAAAAATTCCAGCTGATCCAAAAGAATGGACACAAACTCATGTTAAGCACTGGCTTCAATGGGCAGTTAGACAGTTTAATTTAGCATCAGTAAGATTAGCTGATTGGAACATCACAGGACAACAATTGTGTAATCTCACCATGGAAGAATTTCAAGCTAAAGTACCTCTGGATCCAGGAGAAGTATTCTGGACACATTTAGAATTACTTCGAAAATGTAAATTTGTTGGTATGTATATTTATCAAAAAGTTAATATCAAATTAGTAACAAATATATAATTAATTACATGACATTGTAGCTGTCCTTCAGAAAGATCCTCCAGTGTCACCTACAGAAAATAATATTGATAAAACTATTAAAGTTCGTAACCAGAAAATTACGAAATCACGACCAGTGGTAAACCAACAAGCTCGAGTAGTCAGTCTTCCTTTGGAGAACATTGATGCTACGCCTATTACTATAGCAACTTCGAGTCGTTCAGTTAATAGTGGTCAAATACAGTTATGGCAATTTTTGTTGGAATTATTAACAGACCGTGAGCATAGAAGTGCTATTCAATGGGTTGGGACGGAAGGAGAGTTTAAATTAAATCAACCGGAAGCAGTGGCGCAACTTTGGGGTGCACGTAAAAACAAACCATCAATGAATTACGAGAAATTAAGTCGCGCATTGCGTTATTACTACGATGGAGACATGATTTCCAAAGTGCATGGGAAGCGATTTGTGTATAAGTTCGTATGTGATTTAAAACAAGTCTTAGGTTACTCAGCAGCAGAGTTAAGTAGATTGGTAGAAGAGGGCGCAAGATATTTCTGATGATATGCTATTTTTTTATGGTTACAACGATTTTTATCATCATACTTCCGACATATTTTACATCGATCATTGTACATATTTAATAGAAGATAAAAGAAAATCGAGAATTGATTATTGTTGAGACAATCTTGTACATCGAAATACAAAAATTAATATAATGATTAATATTAAAATTCTTTTGTGTTAATTAAATATATCCTTATTATATAAAACATACACCATTCATGATATTTTATTTAAAGAATTTATATAAAAAGAATAAAAATTATAATCTGATATATGATTTTAATGTATTACAATATTTAAGATCCAGAAAGCTAAAATGCATCTACAGAATATATGTAAGGATTTTAATATGAATATAAGGATGTTAATATATTTATGGGACATTTTTGAAGGAAGATTTCTAGAAGTTAAAACAAACACAAAAATTGATATATAAAAACATAATAGAAGTTTATTTGTTAAATTATAAGCAATTTAAATTCATGTTAAATGAAGCGTATAACAGAACGTCTTCTATATTTCAATTTCTCATTATATAATAAAAACTTTAATTACTTATAACTTAATAAATAAATCTTAAATATTTTATATATGAACTTTTGTGTTTCTTTGGCTTCTAGAATCGATCCTTTAAAGGTATCCCATTAATTTATTAACATTTTATATAAATGTATTTTTACAGAGTTTTTTTTTTCATCATAAAATATCTCGTATTATATTAAATTATAATATTGAGGTATTATATATTCACAACAAATTTTTTCAATTAACTTTCTAAGATGCATTATACAATAGTAGATAATTGACCTTGAATGTCGAGTCTCTTTAACATCCTCGTTCACAGAGCGTCGACGTTTCCGGCCGTTTTCTATCTCTGATGACTAGGACTGACTTTTGATCGGCAAAAGGCAGCACTCATCGCCAATACCAGAGAATCTAGCCTGTGAGATATCGGTCGCGACGTCACAAGTTAGGGTCTCAGGGGACCGGCGACGCGGCAGGCTTTACAATCAGCCCGCCCGCCCTTTTTCTCATTTCATTTTTTCTCCCTTTTTTATTCGCTTCTAATTGCACATACATCCATACGCTTACATTTTCATGTAAGAGGAGGCACCACCTTTTACGGTTCTATTATCTCCTCGCCAATGTATAATTATATTACAATTACTGGAAATATATAATGTAATAACTTATATAGTATCTATGGATATCATTTATGGTGGTAAATCTTCTTTGTTCTTCTTTAACAAAACTATATGCACTCAATATACAC